TCAAATTTCATGAGATCGGGCTCTATAGTTCTAAAGCCTATTTTTTTGGAAAGATATATATGGACCACAAGAACAAGGGACAGATAAAGTTGAAAACCTTTCTATTGAAAAAGAAATAAGAAATATGAATCAAGAATTTCACAAACACTGAAACTAGTGAATAATTTAGAATTTTCCAAATGATGCCGAATTCAGTCACTGATTTTGTGAATAAAAAGGCCCGTAACTCTAAGGTTCAAGTATTAAGCATCAAGGGGGGGAGGGTAAAATCACTTTATATCAACTTCTGTGCGCAAATTTTAAAACTTTTGTTTAAATTTAAAGCATAAAATTAAATGAAATTGAATTGGAGATATTTATAAAACTGTAACACATGCACAGAAATAGAACGTTTTTATGATAATAAGATCCCTTTGTTAGTTTTGGATTAATACGAATCGTTCTCAAAAATGCTAAAATTCTTTTTGTTCATTTTAGTCCAACTGGTTAGATAAAAAGGGTGCATTTTTAATACGTATTTTTCTTTAAATAAATATCAATAAATTGATCTTAGTCTACCCCTTCCCCCCGACACACATGCACACACACCCTATTCAGGTGATAGATATTCACTGTCTACCTTGATACACTTAATGAGTAAAATCACTTATTAGTCATATACTAAACAATTGAAAATAGAATTTAGTGAAATATACCATCATTCATTTATCATGTTAATCATATTTTTAAGTTAAGTTATTGAGAAGTTTGGAAAATAAACAACATATTCTGGATTAGATAAACAATAAGCAGTATGCATGTTTATCTAAAATATTTTTAAGAAGGTTTAAATACTCTAGAACTTTGTAGGTTTGCAAGAGGTTAATTGTATCTTCATAAAAATAATTAATAATAGTATTCTACTCGAATAGTAGAATTGCATTTATCAATTTTAAAAAGAAATGCAACACGTAGAGGTATATTCGTTAAATGACGCTTTTGACATGTTCCCTTCCCTGTAAAGTCCGCAGTCTGTAGTACGTTGTCAGGTGTACGTGATTCCGAAAATGTTCACTAGTTAAATATATGCGAGAATAAGATTCTTGTGAAAAGATCGTGTTGTATAATAACGCAAAATAATTTCTCGTAGAAAAAGTTATTTCTAATATTCGGTCCAGTTAAGGCCTTTAGAAAAATGGGACTGCACCTGCTGTCACACTGTTCCGGTTTTACTAAATGGACAATAAGCAAACTGTAGTAGTTTAAAGGTGCATGGAGACAGATTTTAAGATAATATTTTCTGTATAATATCATGTCTTATATACTTTAATAGCATATCACATAAAAGTATATTAAAAATTTTGTTTTCATCTTAAAGTTATTGAAACTTTAAATTTTTAGATGGGTTTGGTTGACACATCGTTGAACTTTACCTTTTATTCTTAATACTAAGGTAAAGTTACAATTTTGTTGTGTATTCATGAAAAATATAAAGACTTTAATCCAGAAAAATAATTATGTTCACAGTAGAGATGTTAGAAAGCAAAACCCTTCACACGTATCGTCATTCCGCGCTAATTGTTGTGTACAGAGTTTAGCAAATTGATCGCATTCGTGAAATGTACACAGTTTTTGTAAACACTAAACAGAGCACGAGCTCTGTTATTGTTGATGTTTGCTATTCACCAGGTGCGCTCAACTGTTAAAGTCTGCCCACCACAACCTCACTGACTGACAATATTTTGCTTTCAAACTTTTCTTCTCTGAATGTCCTGGATTGTAGTTTTATTTTTTTCGCAAGAATGTTATTGTCGCATATATTTTACTAGTTACATGACATGTAGCATCGGATTTATACAATAGAAACACGCATTCGTGAAATTTTAGTTTCGCTTTTAAAATCTAAATTAAACTTCATATCTGTAGCAATTTACCTTTTAAAATATTTCATTTCCTTCAACAAAGGAACACAGTTTTTATTTCGATCCCTGTCTGTGTTTCGAAAGTGTGCGATAATCTGATAAGGCTGTCAATAGGCGTTTACTAGTAAATTCTGCCGATATTGATATTCAAATGAGAGGATTTCAGGCCAACATGTTTTAACTGGTTTTAATGATGTGACTGCAATGTTATGAAATAAGATAAAGAAAGAGTTGTTTAGAAAAAGGATTATGTATTTGCTAAAGCTGCAATTTCTCTACTTTGGTCTCTATTGCAGCCCTGAGGGCCGGACAGCTCTATGCATATAAATTTAACTTTTGGTTTATGAGGATTGAGGTTAAATAAGTTATTCAGATTTAAATGTTATCTAAACATTAAAAAAATATACATTAGAGGGTTTTTCCCCTTTTACACGCAAAATTACAAAAGATTACGAGATACATAATATATTAACCTCCATGAGTTACATCTTTGAAAATATATATGATTTTAGGCCATATATAATATAAAAAGTTGCTTATCATTACTACCGACATAACGACAGGTCCCCCTTTTTTTCTCGAACACTGGATTTTATAATTACGTATCCGATAAAAACGCACGTTACACAGTTTTTGTTTAGTTTTCATTAAGTCAAATCTATCTTTGACGATAGGAGAAGCGTGTTTCTGATTCTAATTTATATTTCATGCAGCCAACAGTTACTTGAGGAAATTATAAAGTTCAAAACGATATCGTGTTTGTTTGATTTTTATCCGTTTGGAAGCTTAATATTTTCATGACTAGAGTTTCGATCTTTCAGACGCATAACTTTATCAGACTAGTCGAAGCGGTTCGGTTCGATGCATGATCCAGACTAATTTCTATTATTGCCTGAAGATTTAATCTATAGATAAATGTTTATGCACATCTAAAGCATGATATCTTACTAAATCATTTATTTACAGGGCGACAATTGATGGCTGACATCAATGATTTCTTGCCTCTACTTGTATTATCTTTGAAAGAATATGTTACGGTCAACGTTTTTCTTCATATATCTCGAAGGTTATAGGTCAAAGTTGTTTGTATTCAATTACAGGTTTTGCCAAAAGGGTTAAATATGTTAAGAATGAAAGTCCTCGTACTTAATTACCGTTCAAAAGTATGTAAATCTCCAATGTCAAGGTCAAAAGGTCAAAGTTGTTGGTATCCAATGAAATGTCTTTCCACAAAGAATATATATGGAATTAAAGTCCTAGTACCTATAGTTTAAAGGTTATGGTCACATTTAAAGTTTGGAAATTTTGCGTGTAAAATTTTGTTATGCTCCAAGATCAAGGTCAAAAGGTCAAATGTGGTACCCAAAGAGAATTCTTGTCACAAGGAATACACATGTGAAATATGAAAGTCATAACTCCACTAAATCAAAAGTAATGGG